ATAGACAGACATGAGAATCATTTTGTATTTTTCTTTATTTTATGTTTGCCCAATTAGCCTACTTGTGTGGAGCTTTTTAGTATTTAACTAGGCTGATTCTTGGGCAACAGAAAGTCTGTAGTCAGGATATGTGAATCTTTTTCACCAGGAAAGAGTCTATCAGAGTCACTTCCATACCAGGATGAGATATTAGAGTAAGAGTTTTATGAAGGCACAGAATTCTTGTGAAAATCAAATGGGAACATATGTGAAGATACTTTTTTCAACTGTGCAATGTAGTGCATGGCATTATTAAAATTATTAACTAAGTACCTGACTGCTATCTGTTTGTACTCGAAGATAAGAGAATGCACCTCCTACTTGAGGTTAATACCTGCCTTTACTTGTTTCCACTGGAGTTTTCTGTCTCAACCTAACATACTGTACATATAACTGAACAGCATCTGTTCTACCTAGGGTTCACTGAAAAAGTGACACAACATTGATTCCTTGTTTAACAAGTATTCACTCTGGACTGGCTGCAGAGGTGGGAAAATATGGACGTGGTCTACAACCTTTGTTGTTCCTGAACTTCAGACTGAACTAAAAATCCCCAAAGTCTGACTCCAGCAGGCTTAATCCCAAAGCAAGTTGGGGCCATGTACTAAGTAAAAGATCAAAACAAGAGACAAAGAAATATTTACATTCTAATCCTTTATCTGCCCCTGCTTTCTGAGATGCAGCTGGCTCATTTATAAAATGGAAAGAACTCATGTTTCTATGAGGAACAAATCTTATTTTAAGCTATGATATGGATGTTACTAACTACAGATCTCAATTCTCCTTCTTTCCTCTTCCATGACTCCCTTACTAATCACCATACTATGTTAGAAACTGAAAAAAGATTTTAAAAAATACTTAAAAGGCTTTGGTCTGATCTGATGACCTTTGAATGGCTAACTATACAAGAATCAACTCTGTCCAAATTAAATATTCCTTTAAATACACACATAATCAAAAATCCAAGCCCCCACCAAAAAAAAAAAAGGGGGGGGACAACAAATATGAATTCCACCAAGATTTTGTGGAGCTTCCCCATATTGGGTAAGTGAACTGACAGCGCATTCGGGTTTTCTCTTCTCATTGAAGACATTTTCTTTTTAACCAGCAGATTCTTCTTCTTACAATTCTAGTAGTCTTGTATGAAGCAACTCTAGAATGGTACAGCAAGCACTGACTTTAGAGTTTGGGGGTTTGAGGCCTGGATTTACCACCAAGTATCTATGTGACCTCATGCAATTTATATTTCTCTGAGCCTCAGTTTCCTGATCTATAAAATAGAAACAATATTTAGCTCTCAGGGTTGTTGTGAGAATCAAATCGTTGTTGTTGTTTGTCCTTTGTTCTGAAAGAAGACCATGACATCAGGAAAGTGATGCCATGACTTGCAAGTGAATTGGATTTAAGTGAGGGAGGGCTGTGCAAAGTCACCAGCCTCACTTTTTCCTCTGGAGCTATCTGGGCCCAGTAGCAAGATATAGGTCAGGACAACTGGAGACGGTGCTGGATGCAGTGGGAGACTGGCCTTTTTAAGCTGAGGTCTTTCCCAGGTCTCAATTTGACTGAGGCAACTCCCACTCAGTAATTAAGTCTAGGTAAAAAATGAGTCAAGGAATGGCCCCTTTTACCTAATTTTTTTAAAAAAATCAATCTGGGGAGGGGAGGAGAAGACCCTCAGGGTTTCTGGCCAAAAACGGAAACAATTACTATTTACATTCACTCTGAGCCATCAGAGTCCAGACAATGACCAGGTAGTGATTGGGCTGTGACCTTTGTTGGCCAACCCAGTAGAGGAGAGGACAGGACAGGACGGGAGAGGTGAGGAGAGGATCAAATTATGTTTTATATACATATATATATATATATATATATACGTATATATATCACCTAACCTCTCTGTTCCCCTAGGGAAATCTCTAAAACTATAAATAACAATGAAGTTGCTGATCTGCACCAGAGGAGAGAATTTCAACACCCAGAGTTCCTTTGAATGAGGAAATCATAGATCCAGACTTTACTCCTTTCAAAAAAAATTATTTTCATAGACCAGGGCCACCTCAAAGGACTCATCAAATTGGCTCCCAAAAGTCATTATCAGGGCAAGAGTTTGAGAATATATCCATAGGAAGAAAGCATAAGCAAGCTCCCTAAAGGGTAGGACTCTTGTCCTCTATTTTTAAGTTCTAGCTCTGCAGTCATCAGCTGTGTGCGCTTGTACAAGTCATTCATCTTTCTGAGACACAGTTTCATCTATTAAAAAAAAAAGAATAATAATAGTACCTCCCTCTCCTAGTTATTGTGCAGATCAAGTGAAACATTTGGGATACTGTTTTGCAAATGTTTAATTGATAAACTGATAAATGCTTAATGCCATATTAATCCATCCGTAGTATGAACGAAGCCTCTCTTTCCAGGAAAGTTCTGCCACTAACTTTCTCTATGACCTTGGGTAAGTCATTTAACTTCTTGGGGACTTGGTTACCTCATCTATCAAAGGAGAGCCTTAGATGAGATGAGCTCCAAGTTCCCTTTCAGCTCTATCATCCAGCAACTTCTGACTTACTTCTTAGTTCCTCCTCTTGTCCTGACCTCCTTAAAGGTAGCTTCAACACAGGAAACTACTAGGATCTTGAGAGGTAGACCCCTACAGATAAGCAGGAATGCTAAATAAGCTTTAATTTTGAAAGCCTCCTGCCTTTGCTCAACAGCCCATCTTCCAAATGAATTTGGAGGTGCTTAAAATTCGATGTATTTTTTTTCCTCCTATGACCAGGGTTTGGTTTTTCTTCCAAAAAGGAAAACAAAACTCATGAAGAAATATATACACCCTTTATCCAAGCAGAGCTTCCAGAAGAACTCAGCCCATTTACAAACTGTTAAAAAGGAGAAACGCACAAATCATGCAGGCAGGCATAATAAATACCAAGTCTAGCAATAGAGCTGAACTTGTCCTAACAACTAGAGTTTGGTAGCTCTGGGTTGCTTTGCTCTTCCCTTTAAAAACCCATTCGCTCTCTACAGCAATAGGAGAGCAGGAATGGATTGTGGGTGCACAGGGCAGAAAGCCCTGTCGTGATCTTCAAAGGTCTGGAGGCAATCTGAAGCAGGAGCGTTGCTGTGAAATGTCTTTATGTCCAGAATTCTCTTCCTCTCTTGGCTCAATAGAACCTGAGTATGCTGCCCTTGAGGATAACCTGCCAAGACCCCTTGTTTAATCAAGGATATTCATCTGTCATGGGAAAACCAACTACTGGTGAGGCAGGGGAGGAAGACCTTGCCCTGGGCTCTCTCTTGAGATACCATTTCCTGTGCTTTTTATAGAGAAAAATAAATAACATCGAGTCCTATCTAATACCCAGGAGCATGTGTGCACATTTATGCAGCTTATATATGTATATATAGTGCTTATGTGTAACATATATAGTGCATAAATGTGCACACACACATATAGCACATATATGCACAACACACACATGTATAATAAATGTACATACTTACTCCTGGGTATTAGATACAGTAACTATACATATTATGTATGTGTATGTGTGTGCATGTGAGTACATGTATATACCTATATGTGCAAATGTATATGGCCTTTACATCTATTCAATATACATATGCATGTGTATTTATACACATATCTACATGCATACATATATACGTATGATATATTCTCTACAGAAAGCCCCCTTTTATAGATAGCAGCAGTTAAGCTGTGACGGTATAATGGCAAATGTACTGGACTGTGAGAAAGAAGGTCAGGGTTCCTATGCTGGCTCCATCATTCTACCATTTCCTATGTGAGCTTGGACAAGTCCCAGTCCAAGTTTGCCTATTTACCTTTCTATCAAATGAGGACATCTGCCCTACCTTATCTACTTCAGAGGGTTGTTCTGAAGATGGAATGAGGTAATATATGGGAAGGAACTATAAAATTGAATTTATAATTTATGATGATTAAGCAAGAAAAACTCCTGATGTGAGTTATTCCACTACTAATTTCACTAGTCTGGGCAAACTGGTCAAAGGGTGAGTGAGTGATCTCTCCCTACTCCACCCCACCCCCACACCTACAGAGTCAATATAGAAATAGAATATGTATGATTCTATTATTTATATGTGTATGCTTAATATATCTTTTCTAATCCTTACTTGGAGATCCTGGTAATGGAAACCATCCTGCCCACCCCTTCTCCTTTCTCCACTTCCCCCCACTTATCAGGTAAAGGCTTTTGTAAATTGGAATGTAATATATTTTGATTGATTCATGACACAACTTTAAGGGAAATAAAAGCTTTATCACCATAGTTGTGAAATATAAGAATTTCTTCCTTTATTATTGCTCATCTCCCCTCCCAGGAAAACAAACTCCAAATTCCCTGAGATTAACACAGGGGTACAGGGGCTGTTGTTTTGTTTCTTTTTTCATATAAATTGTATTTACTATGAGTTTGAGGGCCCAAAATGAGACTATGTGATAAGCAACTAAAGATATTTATCACTTTCTCTTGGCTTTGCCATAGTCTTAACCCAGTGATGTTAGCTTTTTGCATTAGATAAAAAGACAAATCCAGACCCTACATGGTACCACCAAAAAGTGTACATTTGAAAACCAGAAATGTAGTATGTCACATTATGTATTATTTAATGGTATGCAAATTATAAGTCAGACAGTTAGGAAAACCACACTTCAGCATTAATAAACAGCAACACTATTACTACATTAATTATGATATCCCTATGATTTAGTCCTAAAGCTCCGCATTTTGATTCTCCTCGAAAATTTATGCCATTTTGTGGATGTTAACCTCTTCTGCCTTCCTCAACTCCCCCCTCTGCAGACTCCCACTCCCCCTACCCACTCAGTGGTTATCTGTAGCAAATGGATATGGCAATACAAAGTCATAACCAGCTGCACTGTCTTTTAAGCATTAAAAATTGAAGAACAGGCAAGCAGAACCTAAAGCTCCAACATTTATTGTGTCAATGTTAAGCACAAGTTTTAAAAGACAACGTAGAATGTATAGAAACAATGGGTTGGGGGACTCATGCTCTTTTCCACAGTACAGGTAATTAAATTGGCTGGTTTCAAGAGGGCGTGGGCGTCACCCAAAGACAGTGACGGCCAATGGGCCCTATAACATGGGACTGATTCACTGTTTCAATGAGATTCTGGTTTTTTTGTTTGTTTGTTTCTGTTTTTATTTTTTTTTTTTATTAAAAAATATAAATAAAATGGCGCTGCAGGCCCAGACGGGAAGGACTCCGCAGGACTCTTCACACGACGGCTTCTTGGAGGCTACTGTCAGAAAACATCACAAACTAGCAGGATGACAGACCACGCTCTGAAGTCGGCTGGGCGGCAGGACATCCCACCCTGCCTTGGGTGGGGGGAAAGGGCATCAAATTTTCTCAGAATTTAAGGGCTCTCGAGCTTCCATCCGAAAACTGCCACACATCTTGAGCTCTCTGGGCACTACGCCGAATGGGGGTGTGTGAAGAACCTAGAAAGAGGATGGGGACAGAGAGGGGGGAAAAAAAATACAGGTGTAACTTGGCCCAGTGACATTCCATTCTCTTCCTAGCCTTTTTTGTTTTTGTTTTTTGTTTTCCAATTAATTTGAATCAGCCACAGACCTGAGCTGTTGGAATCTCAGGCACTGATTTCAAACCCAGGCCCCACACTCTCTGGTCTCTGGTTGCTTTCCCCACAAAGGTAGATTCCCCACCCACTCTTGCCCACCCGGGGGCTGAGGCTCTCCCTTTCATATAACATTACAGTTCTAATAAACTCTTCAGGACACATATGGAGGGAAACATTCTTTCCCGTCCCCTCACCCACCCACCTCCAGTGAAAAAAATGCAGGTAACAAGACAAGTTGTATGTACCCCGGTCCTTTCTTTTTTCTTTTTCTTTTTTTTGATTGGAGGGGAAGGGGAGAAGGAAAGGAGAGTAAAGGGGGGAAAAACAAAACAAAAATAAAACAAAAATAAAAATCAATGTAAAGCAGCACAACAAAAACATGGAATGTCATCAAATTCAACGTCAAAGCAGCCAAAGATTTACAAAAGTCGGACGAATCTCTGCAGAGAAAACCAGAACCCCAAAAGGTTACCCCCAAATTTCACCAAACCTGCCTGTAGTTTGTTTGGAAAAGCGCAGTTCAATTTTGGTGGGGGGAGGGGGGAGGGGGGGAGAAAGAAGCGTTGTTGAAGAGAAAAGGGAAGGGAAGAAGGGGATGGTTATTTTCTTCCTGGTTTTCTTCCCCTCCTGTGTACATTGACTTGAAGCTGCAGGACTGGGAATCCGGATGTGCTGAGGAAGACCACCACTGTGGTATTCCAGGCCTCGTTGCCATGGTGACCCGAGGCAGGGGCTTGGGGCCTCTTCTCCCCTGACTTGGCGCTGGAGGCCCAGGGTCTAGCACTCAGCTGCTCTTGTGAATCCCCCTCGCTGAACCACAGGGACCAGGCCTGGTCCTGCCATGTCCAACAAGGACCAGGGAACACTGAGAATCCCGCAACACCTCTTTTTAAGCAGGATTCCCAGGTCCCACTGCCCGACACTGGCATTGCCTCTCTTTAAGACGAGGATGTCCGAATCAAACCGCTTTGTCACCTCTCTTCCCCCATTTACCAGTATTTTACAGCCCTCACTGGAAATCAAAGTACAGTTTCAGATTGAGCACTTAACTATTCACAAGTTTATTTAATAGCACATTCCCTATCCAATATCAAGGCCCTACTTCAAATCAAAGGATTTTACGGAAATCCCTATTTTCGGCCATTTCTGCTTTTCCTGTGGAAGACATACTTCGTACGTTTCTTTTTATACTTCCCACAGGAAACTCTTTGTCATTTTTACAGAATGGAAAAAATGGTAGTTGGATCCACCATTGAGTTGTGCTTGGGCAAGGTTACACACTTCCATACAACAGCCCCAGAGCTCTGAACTTTTGCTCTCCCCTGCCTCATTAGGGAAGAAGAAATCAATTGCATCCTAGGACCATGGATAACACTGTGAAACACACAGAAAGAGAAACCCCTCCCCCAAAAGGCTGATTCAACAATCATGTGTTTTTAGCAAATGAAACAGCAGGCTAATGAGTGCCGATAACATCAAACAATCACACCCAATAATCCAAGTATACAATTGGCAGTTAGAGTCAACCCTGTGATACAGTCACATAATTCCAAATTCAAGCCCTGTGGCCTGATGAGTCCATTTCTTTGGAAACAGATCGCCTTATTCTTCACTGGGGGTATCTGCAAGGGTCTCAAAAGCCACTAAGGAAAATTTACTAAGTAGCTTATGTTGTTGAAGTTAAAACTCTTTTGAAAGAAAATAAAAAGCCAGTTTGGAGAATACTATCAATCTTCTCAACACTGGCAAAGTTTCCCCTAACTTTTAATTTTTTTAATAGGTTGGCCAAATAAGTAGGAAGGTATGGGCCCACTCTTGAATACTTTGGACTCAGAAACACTGGCATATAATAGAACTATAATGGATACACAGTTACAGTAGACTTATCACAAATAATTTTTAAATTATGTGGATGGTGTTTAAAGACAAATGAAACAATCCATTTCCCTCACTTTCTCTCTCTCTGTCTATCCAGTGCTTGAAGTAAGGCAGGATGAAGCCATCCAACTTCTTTCCAGGAAGGCCTGAAAAATCCTGGCTCTTCTTAGGAGACTTTTGTCTATGGATAAGCAAGCCACCCTACCTCCTTGCTTCTCTATTTTAGACTATTTCCAAATGGTCCTACTTCCCTTACTTTTCTCACTTCAAGCTTTATATAAGTATAACACACATTTGGGGGAAAAATAGCTACATAATGACACATATTCATTCTTCTGGGATAAACTCAAAAATTTCACATTTCCTGAGATTGCAAAGATAATTTAAAGGCCATATACTCATATCACTTCTTACAGGCCTTTAAGTTTGGAACCTCTGAGGTTAAAGGACTCCATGTTGTTTTCAGTCCCTTTTTTAGCCTTAAAATTTAGAGGATATTAAATGTCTTTTAAGGGAGCACAGAAGACATGCCCCCCCCCCAAACTGGACTTTTAAAAATCAGTGGGCAATGGAAATTTTAACAAAAGCCTTTGTGCTGCTACCCCAATAATATTCCTGTTCATTTAAATATCTTTTCAAGTGGAGATAAACAGCAACATTCATTGGAGAAGGAAGATGTTGGAAGGTGAGGTTTACAGGGCTACACATTGCCTTGTAAGTTCCTACAGGATATCACTTACGTCTGTTTCAGAATTCTTAAAAATCACCTTTAAGGGGTCTCTGATTTTAAACACCATGCATTGATTACATTGTTAGGAAATGTATAGTTTGCATTAAGATATTTGCTTAGCACTTGGAATCTAACCTATATGTTCTTGTTGTTATGTTCTTGTTGACTAATCCTTAATGCATCTATTATTGAGGCAGCTTCAGAAATAATCTCTTAAAAGAGGGCTTAAGCAAGTCAGGAGACTAGGTGAACTGAAGAAGCTGTCGTGCCTCCCACTAGATTTATTTAGCCTTGTGAAGGCTGAAATCAAACACAATTTCTCATTCATCAGCAGGGGAATCATCATTCTCCCTCCCCACCATGATTTAGAAATTCTGGATTTGAATTATAAATATATACATGTGGTATTATATTAATTCAATACTATATATCAGAATGCAAACCTAATTACACTAAAACATTATACATGGAGAAATTAAAATGAGTACTATATATAAAAACCTGTTCAGCTGCAGTAACAATTTCCTATTAAAAGAATAACAGGGAGATACAGACTTTATGGACATTTAATAGTGGTAGAGCTGAAGTCATGTACTCCCAAAAGAGCAAAGTATTGGTTATGATTTCTGCCTGGTCCCAACACTGTGTTAATGTCTAAAACTGCCTTCCCTAAAGCACCAACATCCTCCCTGAGCCCTGGTTTTCTGACAGTTACCAAGCTCTTTGGAACCCATCTGTTCTCTCACCCTCCCCCCTTTTCATCATCCAATCTCTTCCACACTAATAACCAACTGTACATCTTGCCTAATATTCCCCTTTCCACTTCTCACCCCCAAACCCTCTAGTCCTCACCCGTCAAAGGGACAGATACATCTCTTAAACAGGCTGGTGGGAAAAAATCATCTCCCTCTGTACTAATGGTAAGATTTTCTTCCCTAAGATCAATATTATTACATCCATTGGAAGAGTGCCACCTATGAAAAGGCCTGATGGGTTTACTAATGGGGCAACAATGACCACCACCACAAGAAGACAACAGAACTCTGGCTTTGGTTGTACAAAAATAAAAACAATGTCATATCCATCCAGTTACACTAGGAACAGCGAGACACAATATCACGGAGGGGATGTGTTTTAAAAAAGCAAAAAGATGCTGCAACACGCAGTATTTGTGAAAACTGACAACATGCACAGACCTCTAAGAAGGGGTTAAAAAAAAAAGGACCTTAATTGGATTCCAGATTTCAAAGACAAATGTACGCACAATATTTCATAAACCTGCTGGTTGTTCAAAAGATAAGTGAAGGGGAGTTCCCACCTTCCATTTGTTGTCAGCCAGTGAAACACCATAAACAGGTCTGTAGAGTTTTAGGGCCGGTTTGTCTGATCTCAAATTCACAGTGCAACACACCATGCATCTCGTAAAATCAGAGGCTGTGCATGCCCACACACCATTGGTGGCTGCTTTCACAAAACACGTCACACTATTCAGTGAACAGCACAGGCCGAAAATCTGGAGTTCACCTGTTGCCATTGTTAGGGTTTTGGGTGAGAGTGGTGAGGAAAAGGGAGGGGAGAAGGAAGTTAGTTTTGGTTTGACAGAGGGGCTAATAAGGAAATTGGAGGACTGATTCTTTTCTTTTGTCCCATGCACTCCAGATGGGGCAGGAGGAAAAGTCCCTTTCACAGACAAGACCAAAAAAAAAAAAATCCCCAAGGAATGCTATGTGGACAATGCCATTACAGGGAAGATGTAAGTTTATTCCTGAATGGCTCTATTGCTACAGCAGGTTGGGAGAAGATTCAATATCCACACTGAAAAAAAAAAATCTTCTATGCTCTTGAAAATTATTCTAGAATTGTAAAGCCTCAAAACTATTTCCCTGGATTGAAATGTCTATTCTAATATGGTATTTCTACGTTCCTTTAGGATACAACACACACGTCAAAATGCCCACAGAAAGAATCCTGAAAAAGACTGACTGGCCTTCTCTTAAAACCTGTTATTTTCCTGAAAGTAATTTACAGAGTGTGTCAAATGAGGACACAAGAAGCTTACATTGTGTACTTTAATTTTTTTTTATTTTTTCAATAAAGGGACAAAATGGGTGTATGAACAGGTTAATGCAGACAACTGCCAAAAAAACACAGACAGTGGTTTTTCCAATAGAACTTAACAAAGACCAGAAAACAAATACAATAAAAAGCCAGGTTGTAATGACCTTTGGTCATCCAAATAAAAAAAAAATAAAAACAAAGAAAAATAAAAGATCAAATTAAGTGCCTCTGTTTTGAACAGGGCACATAAGCAATAATAAATAGTGACTCCCATAGTAAAAGATAAAATTTCAAGTTACGACAAACAGCTTTCATTACAGGAATAGAAAAGGCCAATAACAAAATATTCTGCATTGCCATTTACAAAAAAGTATTGACTAAAGCGGGCTTTCTCTTTAATATGCTTTGCATATGAAATTCTTTCCAATCTAAATATAAAGCACCATTTAGTTTTTGGCAATGAAAAAAACTGCAAAACATTGTTTTTTTTCCTTTTTTTTTCTTTCTTTTACTGCATATGAAGTTAAAATGCTGGAATGTAGGGTGATAGGAGAGGGACAAGAAGCACACTACATAACAAACCAACGTTATTAGCTTGCAGTACTGCATACAGTATGGCAGCAGGAAAAAAGAACAAAAAAAAGATATGTACAACCCTCTGTGACAGCCATCCGTGTGACATTCTAACAGGTTTTCGCCAAACAGCCATTATATGGCTTCTTATCTGTATAATGTCACACTTTTTTGTCTTTTTTTTTTTTGAAACATACAAATAATTTGCACTATATTATCCTGCCAAATTAAAAAAATATACTGTGGCAGCCTGTGTTTTTTTTTCCACTACCAAAAAAGGTACATTGATACCTTTTAAGAGAACAAGCAACAATTAAAAATACAAGCTTCAATATAAATACTATAGTGCCTAACACTAGGTGAACATTTAATTCAAATACCATCCTAGAAATACAGAAAAAAGACCATAAATGTGTTGTAGCATAGGAATCAACATGAGTGTGCATTTTCCTATATTTAAGTACTATATAATCTTAAACCTTTCCCCAATGTATGCTTTATACAACCTGAAGAGCGGTGTATATCCAAGGCATAAAATTTCCACTACCATTTTTAAATGGATAACAAGTCTTGTAACACCACCAAGACAATGGAACCCTAAATGCAGTTCCCCCCTAAACATAATGAAGTGTTTTTTTTAAAAAAATTTCTTAACATTTATATTTAAAAAAGTTTTGTACAAAAATCCTTGCACTGTAGAAGCGAAAGCAATCATTCATTTCTATGTTAAGTGTTTTCTGTTTCCATTCACAGCGCTGCAATGTTGTCCAAGTAAATAAGCTCATTAGTCAAGTAAATGGCTGGCAAAGTTTTTTTTTGTTTTTTTTTTTGTTTGTTTTGTTTTTAATGCTCATCAATGAGATTGTGTTCAATTTTTTTTTTCAGCATTCTTGCAACTTTTCCCTTAAGTATAGACCTGTAAACTGGGAAAATTGTACAGTGCACTTAATTGTCCTAACTGAGCAGTCTTATTTTATACTCAACCTCTGTATCTCTGATTAGAGAAAAGATACAGACACATCACAGGCAGAGTCAAGTGCTATTTGAACACCAACTGGGGCGGATGCTAGCTTAATAAAAAAAAAAATGAATCCTGTTCCATGTTAACACAAATAGCACACAGTGTATGAAAAAGGAATGAAGTACAACTTTTAGGGAGCACAGACATACATACTGCTACTCTTAAAATTCTTTCTCTCTCTTTATTTTAGAATGTCACATTTAAAAGCAAGTCTTAAGAGTTCATAGTTAATCATCATTGTATCGATATTAGCTTATACACCTGTTCTAGTTTAAAATGGCAAACAGTACCACATTGTGCTAATGATCACAATTATTTTTTGTTTTTCTATCTGTTACACTCTGCGAAATCTTATTGCCAGCCTCTTTTATTATATGGGTACACAAGGTCTTAAAGTTTATAATCTGATTGTCAGCTTGACAATCAAGTGAATCTGGATTTATTTGTTTTGGTGCCAGAATCAATCAAAGATATTATTAAAAGTAAATATCTTCATAAAATGAATTTCCTTACTAGTGTATTTAATCATGTTCCAGGGCCTTTGCACGTTTCACATTCAATTTAATCATTGATTAAAAAAAATAAAACTTTGGGCAAAAAATCCCATTTCTTTTAAGCTCTCACCAGGAGCAAAATAGGTTTTATACTGCTATAATCAGTTTTTTTAAAAAATTAAACTAAAGGGAGAATGATGATTAACTAGGACATATTAGGTCATATTTTTAGGTAGCCATTGTTGTGAGAAATACAATATAGAATCATATGCTAGGTCCTAAAGATTTATCACCTTACCCAATGTTGAATTAAGCTACAAGTTTATAACAAGTAGGAAGAACCATCAACATGGTTTCAATAGATTCAAGGCACTCATATTTTTAAAACCAAATGATAGTACAAATTTGCTTTTATCTTTTTTTTTCTTAATTTGTCTATTCAAGGCCTTTTTTTCCTATTCAATTGATACATTTAACCCTTTAGAGACAGACATCTAGCTAATACAGCTTTTTTTTTTCAGTGCTATCCATCCTGTCCATAGAGGGTTAATCCAAAGACTGTCTTTTCCTCCACACATTATAAAACAAAACTGTACATGATATGTATTACAGAAGTTATGCAGCATGGTCTTTTTTTTTCCTCTCTCTCTCTCTCTCTTTTTTTTTTCTCTCTCTCTTAGAACGGAACTGGAAACAGCAACATGTTTGCTCAGCAACTAATCAGGGACAATTTAAAATAGCCATAACATACCATACATGCTGTCTAAGTCAAAATAAAAAAAAAAAACATACACAACATGTAAATTATTGCACAAGAGAAAGGCTCAAAGTTTGCGTAAAATGCAATAGTATTGCCCCGATAGAGATCATGCATTCAAACGGTGAGAACATAAAGGAAAAAAAAAAGGGGGGGAAAAAGGAAAAAAAAAAGGAAAAAAAAACAGGTGTGCTGGTGACAAGCACTTTTCTGTATATTCTTAGCTTCCGTTATTTGTGTTTGTTTGTTTTAAATCACAAGGGACTAGAAAAAATTCTACTGGAGATGGGAGGGGGGGTTGCAGGTGGTGGGGAGAAAGGGGCAAAAAGGTGGGGGGGGGGTGGATTTGGGTGGGGGAGTGAGGGGCAGGGTATGAATATACCTCTATTCAGTTTTTATATCATTATTCAACACTCGATCACTGTGCCATTTTTTCATGTGTTTCTCCAGGGTACTGTACACGCTAAAAGGCATCTTACAAATTTCACATTTGTAAACGTCCTTCCCCACCTGGCCATGCGTTTTCATGTGCCTGGTGAGTTTGCTACTCTGCGCACAGGCATAGTTGCACAGCTCGCATTTATAAGGCCTTTCGCCCGTGTGGCTTCTCCTGTGGACAGTGAGATTGCTACAGTTCTTGAAGACTTTCCCACAGTACTCACAAGTGTCGCTGCGTCTGCCCTCTTTTGAGCTGGGCCTGCCAGGGCCCGGGCCACTAATATGCGGAGTGCTCCCACCGCTTCCCGTGCCGCTGCGGCCCGAAATGCCTCCGTCCATCTCCCCGGGCGGCGTGGAGAAGCGCAAACTGCCGTTCTCCGACGAGTGCTCTGAGGACGAGGCAAAAGGCGATTGTCTGGAGTCTCCGAAGTTGAGAAAGGGGTCTTTGAGCTGCCGGGACGCCGCGTAGCCGGCGAGCCACTGGGAGTAAACGTTTTCGGTGTTGGGCATCGCGGTGGCGGGCAGGTCGAACTCCTTTTCGAGCTTAATGCGCTTGGAGAAAGGGCTCAGCGAACTGGGGCTGCCCAGGAGCAGCTTTTTGGACAAGCCCCCCGACGCCGACTCTCCCGGGGAGCAGCCGCGCCCGTTGACAGTGCCATCGTCTATGCGGTCGGATTCTCCCGCGACTGAGTCTTCGTCGCAAGTGTCCCTGTGCACCTCGGACTCAGACAGGTGGCCTCGCTTATGCTTCTCGCCCAGGACCTGGTGGAAGGCTTCGCTGAAGTGCTGCATGGAGCTCAGCACCATGCCCTGCATCACGTCGGGGATGGAGCGGTTCTCCTCGCCAGCCCGGGAGTTGTTCTCGTGGTGGCGGGCCGCCTCCAGGCTCAGGCCGAAGCCGTAGTCCACCCTCTCGCTCTCCGTCAGGTCCTCCTCCTCCTCTTCCTCCTCTTCTTCCTCTTCCTCGTCGTCCTCCTCTTCCTCCTCGTCCCCGTTCTCCGGGATCATGTTGGGGTCGTTCTCGCTCTTGAACTTGGCCACCACCGACTTGAGGGCGCTGCTGGCGCTGCCCACCAGGTCGCTGGTCCCGGGCTCCGGGGAGCTGGCGGTGGACAGGCCGTCGTCCGACTTGACCGTCATGGGGGACGACTTGTGCATGTGGGTCTTCATGTGGCGCTTGAGCTTGCTGGCCTGGGTGCACGCGTGGTCGCAGAGGTTGCACTTGTATGGCTTCTCGCCCGTGTGGCTCCGCCGGTGCACTACCAGGTTGCTCTGGAATTTGAACGTCTTCCCGCAGAATTCGCAGGACTTGGACTTGACTGGGGCCTGGGAGGGAGGAGGGGCAGACTGTAGAGGAGGGAGGGGGGGGCGTAGCTAGAAAGGGCGGCTTGCTACCTGGCTGGAATGGCTGCAGTAACCTTTGCATAGGGCTGGGCCGGCTTGGGGACAGCGGTGGGCTAGACGTGTTCCCTGCCAACTCTCTAAGTCTCCTAGAGAAATCCATAGCGGGAGGCTCCATAGCCATAGGATTCAACCGCAACACCCTGTCAAAGGCACTCGGGTGATGGGTGGCCAGGGCCATTTCTTCTGCCCCTAGGCGCTCTATGCGATGGGGATCCAAATGATGTCTCGGTGGAGGACTAAACAAAGGGGGGGTGGGTGGAAAGCGCCCTTCGCCGAGACCCGAAGCCTCTCTCGATACCGATCCTGGTATTCTTAGCAGGTTAAAGGGGTTACTGTCTGCAATATGAATCCCATGAAGTGGAGGCTGGGAACACTCTGCACCTAGTCCTGAAGGGATACCAACCCGCGGGGTCAGGGGGCTTCCGTGTTCGCTTTCTAAGTAGATTCTTAATCCGTGAGTGTTCTGTGCGTGTTGCAAGAGAAACCATGCACTGGTGAATGGCTGTTTGCAAGTTGTACATGTGTAGCTGCTGGGCTCATCTTTACCTGCAAAAATAATACAACAGGTACATAAAGGTTTAATCACGGAATCATGGATCAGCAATCGCTTATTTCTGTTTCATTCCTGCCCGATCCTTCCCCCCCAACCCCTAACCCCTTCATCTCCCTCTCTTTTACACTCTGGTTGTCTAAAAGGTGAAAAATCCCAAACCAAAGAGTGTTAAAGCTGAGGGGATTGGGGCGCTGAGGGGGTGGGGGCGCTGCGGGTAATCAACATGTTTGGAGAATATTCTTAACATTATATCCTGTGGATTCTGGGCCTGCTTTTTAACTATGTGGTATTACTTGAGATCGTAGAATCATAGATGTAGAGCTGGGAGGGACCTCAGAAAGCAAAGAGTCCAAGCCTATCATTTTCACAAATAAGGAAACTGAGGCCCAGGGAAGTTAAAAAATTTGTCCAGCGTCACACAGCTAGTGTCTGAAGTGGGATTTGCACCCAGGTCTTCCTGACTCCAAATCCAGCTCTCTTTACACTACAGGCTGCCCCCTCCAGGCCTCTCAGTTTCCTTCATTTGTAAGTGACAGGGTTGGACCTGACTATCAAAAAGGACCTAGATTTATCTCCCTCCTTTCTCTAAACTTCAACAATTCTGTCTCCTGAAACAATGACCTCTCTAAAGAGACAATCATTTCTAAGATCCAATGAAAACAGAGAAGTTCAATTCACTATGCTCTAGAAATGCTTTTTTAATTTTACAATTACAAAACAAGCAAATTTCTGGTATTATTTAAATAAAAATATTCTGTTTAATATAGTCTAAAATACAGTCATAATGCCCCCTATAGGTAATGTAAGCATGTAAGCACAGGCCAGTAATTCCCAAATATAATTTTTCAGCACCCTCAGGGTACCTATTGTCATTTTCTCAAGAGGGTCTCAAAATCTTCAAAATACAATAATAAATACCATGCCACACCCATTCTTAGGATGCTTGGGCAAGGGAGAACCTCACAAAAACAAACAAAAACCAAATGAAAGATGGCAGGGTATCAAAACTTCCCAAAGGTTAGACATCACTGGGGTATGTATATGAAGGAATACATACCGATCCAAGTTGAAGGAACAGTGAGTTTACTGCAGCCTGCACCATCATAGGCAGCAAGCTGAGAAATGCTACACTATCTTCATCCTCATTATTTTGAGTGGCTAACAACGTGAACCAAATTATACAACATCTCTTGCCCTCAGCTGAGATTCAGCTCCAGTTGAGAAAGAAACAGTTTTAGCTAGTCAACTCTCTGGCCAGTAGCCAAGCAGTCTGGATAGAAGCCCTACTTAAGTCACATTATTTCTCTCACGCTGAAAAGAGCTGGAGAATGGTAAATGCCACTTTGGGAAACAGCTAGCCAACTTGATTTCACTATTGTTTATTTTGAGAGGTAACCGAAAATGCTCCAAGAGAGATACCAAACACCACATCACTGGATGACCAGTCTACTAATTATGACATTCAAAGGGGACAAATGTGGATAGCAGGATGGTAGGAATGAGGAAAGGCTTCCAGGAAAAAAAAAAGACTGAATAAATTATAATTGAAGAAAATCTACCTTTCCTTTTCTTAAACAAGTGACTTGAATATTTCATCAAATCTCCTGCTAGTATTTTTCAATAAGTTCTGATAAAGGGAAATAAGTCACCACTGAGGTGAGGAAAGGGGATGAGGAATTAATCAGTTTGATGATTCCCTTCATTTAATGATTCAGAAATAAAAGCTGGTGAGTTCTGCTCAGGAGCCAAAGACACCAGTGACTCCAAAACAAGCCAGGCTTGCTAGACTTGCTTGACTACATAATGGACTCCTGGCCTTGACCTTGTAATTTACTTTACAATGCATTTATAATCTCACTCAATATATCCCACTTCTGGGCAAATCTCTTTAACAAGATTAGATGATAAGATACCAAAATTAGGTTTCAAACATTTGCCTAATGTGGGAAAAAAAAAAAGGCAGAGAGATTTTGAAAGAAAATGCTGACACTGGGGTCACATTATCTGCCTGGTTTTTGTTTCCCTCCTCGCTTCAAAGGGAAATAAAAGGCATCACTGAGACTATTTTCATAAATTTTGTTGTTGTTGAACAATGATTTGGGGACCAGACAGACAAAAAAACCTCTCTAGTCCTAGCTTAAGTGACCCAAGGTGGCTTTATCCTTTGCCTCTAGGTCTCTGTTTCATTATCACACATTTAGCCTGACAATCCGAATTGAGGAAGTAAAAAAGGACATTCAACTGCTTATAGCAATCACTTAACATTTTCATCCCTTCAAAATCTTTAAAATAATATTTAACCTCATATTCCTCCGCTAAAACCCAGATTGGAATAAAAATACATTATAATGGTTTTGCAGGTGTCTTAATACAGCCCTTCTGATAAATATCTAAATCCCTAGGAAACAGAGTGACTTAAGGATTGTTCATTTATGTGCTTAAAAAAAAAGCTTGTATGTGAAAATTTCATTCTATTTTGCTGTCATAAGCTGCTGTTGCTTTAAAAAAAGAAAGAAAGACAGAAAACAAAAAACAATGCAGAGCAAGCTAAGTGATCTGGCTACAGTATGCTAACAATGTAATGCTCCCCTCCCTTCTCTCTCTCATACATTAGGTCAGAGAAAATGGCATTTTATCTTATAATGAGCATACAACATACAGTTTTCACTATCGCATTTTAGTATCCCCATCAACTAAATATTCTAGATCATGAGGGCAGCTAGTGTAATCATAATGTCAATGAGAAGGGCTGTTACGATTGAGACTAAAGATTACATGGAAAGAGCTGCTTTGAAACTGGTAATTATTACCAGTCCACTAATAGCAAATGATGCATTACAGTTTTGCCATATAATCTGTATTTCACTCAGCTCGTGCCAGTGCAGCACATTACATTACAGTGCTCACCAATTCTAAATTCCTAAACTACAGTCATCAATAAATGTGTTACTTGCCTTAATTTGCAAAATTACTTTGTTCATAACATCTTCCACGGTTTAGAAAGACCAGAATTGATTTCCTGCGTGGCAAAATTAGGACTACATTGATTTACTGACGTGTAAAACATAATAATATTCTTCATTTACTCGGATGAAAATCAACTTCTCCGTTCAAGAGTGATTGTTTTGGGGGGATTTGGAGAATAATAAGTGTGTGTGTGTGTGTGTGTGTGTGTGTGTGTGTGTGTGTGTGTGTGTGTGTACACATACATGGCTGCCTTGACCCAAAAGCTCTAGGAGGCCCGGCAGTCAAAGGGTTAAACTCAACTAACTGCTCATTCCTTCCTTATTTTTAAGAAACAACAAAAAGAAGGAACTGATTTCCAATTTATCTACTTTATCTGATTCCTAAAGCGACTGACCTACCACACTTCCCACCCAACATTAACTTCCAGTCTAATGCCCTCATCCTGTTCTGACCCCACCCAGACATTTGAGGGTCTGATTGTTAGAGGCTCGGGGTGAGTAGGAAGGGGCAAAGGGGGAAGACTCATTAACTGGTGAAAGCTGAACAAAGTGGATACTGGTGTTCCTAGCGAGTTCTCCCTGAGAAACTCAGTCATCTCTATCCTTACATACCTTTCTGTTTGCTGCTTCCCACCAAGTGTTGCTTTATATGGGAAAGTTAGTTGGTGGTTGTGGACATCAGCACCAACCCTCTTATTAGGAGGAGGGTTTTTAATCTCAAGCTTCTAAGTTTCCCATCCTCTAAACCAAATTCAGTACCCACAGAAAAATCATGATGAGCAAAAGAGATGGAGAGAGAAAAACATTCTCCATTTCCCTTTATCAATCCAACTCCAATCACTACCATTATACCCAAAATGATTTTTCTCCTTCCTTTCCAAAAGTGGCAGCTGTAACCACTAGGAGCATTGAGTTTTGAGCCAAAGAACCTAGGTTCCAATCTAAGCTCTGGCACACACTATTTAAGCAAACCACTTAAAATTTTTGGGCCTCAGTTTACTCATCTGTAAAGGTGAAGGGAGTGGTAGTGGTCTAAATGATCTCTAAGATCTCTTCCAGCTTAAAAAAATTCAACGACCTATGAACCTGAGTCATTCTGAGAGCCCAGTGCAGCCCCCAACAAAATCAGAAGATATCTCTTCAAGCCAACAGACTGTCATGTAGAGACTCGAAAATCAGTCCAACCCCTAAATTCCTTGCTATCTGTGACCTAACCATGGTCTGGAATGGGGGAGGGGGAAAGAAAGGGGTATTATAGAACAGACAAGGTGCTTTAACCCCTGCACCACCTCCCAGCCCTCAGGACTGGAGACTTAAGAAATTTAGACAATAACTCTTTGTTACCTGGAATTACCTAGCAGTTTAAAAAAAATAATAATAAACAACTGACTCTGAATTTAGCCATGGGGTGGAGGCCCTGTAGACACCATTCTAGAACTAATGAATCCAGCCTTCTTCCCACTTAGGAATGCTTCCTTTCTGGATCTTTCCCTTCCTCTCTCTTTCATTCCTTTCCTATGACCCTTTCCTTTTCCCCATTCCATCAACAAGATATGTTTTGTTTGTTTTCATAATGAAAATACTTTCCTTAGGTAAAGATTAGACAATACACTGTCATGCTTTTCTTTTACATTTGCTTTTTGTTTGAGGTGGGATTTTCCCAGTTTTAGCCATGACTCATTCCATTTATTCCTACTCACCTAAGCAAATTGCTTTAACTTCTAAAGCAAGTTCTTTCAAATTAATTTTTTTCTGAACCCACAGCTCTTAAAATTCCATGATTCTATCCCAAATTTTATAAAAAGTCTTCTAATATAAAAATTGACATTGTTTCTTTACCCAGAAGGGGTTGGGGAAAAGGCTGAATTTAGTGTGATGGCCAGGAGGCAGTCAATTTAGCTCTAGGACTGGGAGGGAGAAAAAATTAACAAATAGAACACATACATAAAATTGGCATTAGAGTAACACTTCATTTGATTCAATAAAATAATTAAGAGGCATCCATTTCTCTTTAGCATGAGAGAGTATCTAGAGTGTCTAAGTCCTATTTGGGCCTGCTCAAATTTATTGGCCATGGAGTTAAGTTCAAACGCCTTATGAGGCAACAAGAGTTGATCTCTAGCCACATAATAGACCCTGTGAGCCCACAGGCATGTCCACCAGTCACTGGCCCTGGAGCCAGACAAGAAGCTGGGGAGGAGGCCAGCAGGGAAAAGAAGCTGTCAGCTCTATGCCACTACTTAGGAAAGAAAGAAAAAAATCAGGGTGGGGGGAGGGAGACCCATTCTGGTGCTAAGCAGAGTGGTTGTTGGGATGCCAAGTGAGTAATGGAATAATATGCATGTGGGTGCCAATCTATTTTGGAAGTGCCTCTCTTCAGGACTTAAAAAGCAAGAGTGATTTCCAGAAATTCTCATCTTGACACACACGGACATTTGTAGAAGAAATAACACTGAACTTACAAATACCCTGTGGGGCGTATTCTGCACTCATCCCGGGTGTGGGAATAAGAGCTCCATGTGCAGAACGAGGGGAAGAAAGTCCCCTCCAGTGCAGAAGTTTATCTGTGGAAGAAACCCAAAATAAAGTACTCGAGCTACACATCACAGATTACATTTCATTGCATTCTATTAACACTGGTAGAGCAGCCTTGCAGATAGTCAAGTAGCCCAACCAAGGACAGAAATGTTTTTTAAAGAATGAATTGTTTACGGATTATTTTCACTTGTATTAATTGTTTTTATTCTCTAAGGTAGAGGTCAAGGGAATTGGTATAGAAGTATACCTTTGAAGTACTGATGTATATTTGGTAGTCTAGGAAGGGGGGATAATAAGCTGGTTGGAAAATTTAGGAACTTATCTGCAAGGCTGAGTTACATGCATACATTTCTCTTTACTAGTTGCAGAAAGGCCAAGCCAAAAACATTAAAACATAACAACCACCCCCACAACCATGATGCTCAGAGATGGCTGGAGGGTTGTTAGGGATCCCACTGTGCTTAATCCACCCCCCCAACTCCCCAACCCTCATTTCATGCAGCAATCAGGGCAGGCCCCCAACTCAGTAGGGAAGACTGAAGAATTCAGAGACTTGGAATTAGGGCATGTGTGGTCTAGGTTTCTACCAAGTGAGCACCCCATGAATGTGTCTCCCCTCTTGTACTATTGGAAAAGACTAGACAATTTTAAATGGGCAAATTTGAATGAAATCTTGGCCAGATTCCACCCCCACTCAGGACTTCTACATGAAATGACAGAGCAAAGGACACCGTATTTCAATAATCCCAGCATCTAGGAGTAGTAACCACCTAAGCCACTCAGTTGCCTTCTGTATAAGCAACTCCTAAACACTGTGCCCTGTTGCACCCCGGTAATGGACAGTAACATCCAACACTAATAAATACAAATCTAGCAGTTGTATTGGGCATTTCCTCCTTGGGCATCGAGATCTTTCTGAGAAATTTTGAAAGGTTTGGCTTATGTAACCCTAAGGATTATAGGGGTCATCTGGAAAGTTACTAGTTTTCCTAAGTTCACTGTCAGCTAATCAGCCATTTGGATGGTCAAGCATGAGATAGAATGGAGCGGATGATACTGAACTTGCCTTGGTGGCTTGGGCTTTTGTTATGATTGGGTGGGTTGAGGGAGGGAGGAGAAAGAAAACAGAGTAAATAGTATGTGTTTTCCGTTAGCTTAATATTAAGAACACTTAAAAGTGTTGTTGTTATGCTCTGAGATGGCAGGTCTCAAGTGTAAAATACATCCTGTTCTCCTTATAAAGACTGCCCTGCCAAGTATAGCCAGGACAGACAGGACAAGGTTTTCTTTCATTAGGAGCTGGGCCTGTTACAATAGCGTGGTGCTCGGTAAGCTTCTGCACAGACCACATAAATCTTTTGTTCCCAGGACGGCAGCAGGAGACTGTTGTTGAGAATTGAATATAAGAGGACTATCTATCTATATGTGTGTGTGTGTGTGTGTGTGTGTATACATATACACACACATACATACATGCACACAGAGTTCTTTCTCATTCTCTAACTGGAAAAAAAAACAAAAAAGTATTTCTTTCTGTCAGAAGGATTGCTGATTGGGGTATGGCGAATTAAAGATTTACTAATGGTGTTTTTTCAACAAGGAATTCAAGGACATTTTTAGCACTTATTCTCATCTTAGTTTAAAAAAATGCTGCCATTTCTGAAATACCTTCCTTAAGAAATCTATATGTTTAAAATAACTCTGTGACCCCCAAACTGAAAAACTGCTAGAGATAATCTAACGCCAAGTTTTCTGCCTTGTAAATCCATGGGATTAAGTATGATGTGTTGCACTGGAAATCTATAAGAATTCATTAACATGATCCTCTAGATTTCTTGATGAAGAGGCTTGTTAACCCACTCAATTTTCTTGAGGGGGGCCAACTTTTTGGCCAACTTGGCATCTTGCTATCTTGTACAAGCAAGCCAGGCTGAAACAACTTCTCAGTGCAGGCTGAATCAATTCCTATGGTCTCCAATTAGAGGGATAGATTTAAGATTGGACTAATAGAAATGGATTCCTGGATATAGGTTGTGCTCTTAAAATTAGATCGAGGTAGTTCATGGGATTTTGTGGACAGGACTTTAGATATTATCTAAATCCCTTCATTTTACAGAAAAGTAAACTGAGGCTCATAATTTAGGTGACTCATATGAGGCTACCCAAATAAGAAATAGCACTTAGTATGGTGCCTGGCACATAGCAGTCACTTAATAAATGTTTACTGACTGACAGATAGAAGTGAGATTCAAATTCAAGTTCTGACTCCAAAGCCACTGCTCTTCTCACTGTATCACTCTGCCTTTCCCTACAAAGAGATATTCATATACAAATGTTATATCTAGTATTATTCAAAGACCAGCCTAAATACATTCAGAAATACTCATCACTAGGTTGACTCCAATGTGAAAAATATTTTGTCTAGAGCAACTCAAAATTACCAAGCAGTAAAGAGCTCTGTGTGTACATACATACATGTATGTATATGTATGTAGCATTTCTATATATTTATGTGTATATGCATTCATGTGTGTGCATATATGTATGTGTATATAGGTATTATGTATATATGTGTATCTGCATATGTGCACTGTGTATGTATATGCACAGATACATATATACACACATATAGTCTATAACAGAGAAGCCATTATAAATTGTTAGAGGGAACTTCCTCACTGGGAGCTCCTCATACCAAAAAATTGCAGCTGTGTCCATTCTTCAAAAAAAAAGAAAGAAAAGAAAAAACTACCGAGTCATAGAACACTGTCCATAGGTTACACTCCATTTTTATACAATCCTAAGAGAGTTTGGGTGGGGAAGGAGACGTATAGCTTATTATTTACATCAATATGGTATTGATTGAGTCTAAAAATCACAGAATTTTTTTGGAAGGTGGAATTGGGACCTCAGAGATCATCAGTCCACCCACCTCATTTTTATAGGGAGAGTTGTCAGGGCTTGACGAATCCCGGGCCGCGGTCTGCGTTGGCATTTAGCAATTTCATCAAGGCACCTAATATTTTCACTGAGAACCACAGAAGGGCACTTTGTTCTTTCTGCTTGTGCATGTTTCTGAGTTACTATTACATTAACTTGAGAAGTCTGCAGCCCTGGACAGCTCTAGCTGGTGTGTGGATCAGTTGGGGGCTCCTTCTAACATCTCAGCCTTACCCAAACTTGCTCTGGTTTTGGCTTCCTCAAGCCAAAGAAATAGAATAGATTACGAGGAGGGGCCAGCCATTTTCAACTCTCTCTTTGAGTCTTTCAAGAGAATCCTTCAAAAATTCTTTTATAAACACTCAGTGACCCCAATTTGGATCCTAATCTGAGGCCAGAATCAATGCCCTGAGGCAATATGCTGTCTTGTTTTGTTTTGTTTTTCTTTCCTGGTAAACTGATAAAAATTATCTGACTGCAAAATGGGAGAGTAGGGGTAGAAGACAGCAATTGATTTCTGAATCCAAAGTAAATTTGTCAATGCCTAAATTAAATGACTGGCCCAAGGTCACCTGGCTACTTGAGCACAGCTGGGCTTTTCACTCTTACTATAGGGTTCCTTTCAGGGGTTTCTGCCTCCTCCTCAGAGGGCCAAGAATTAAAGATGCCTTCCCCACTGAACAGTCAGGGAAACACCTGCCTACCTACTGGGTCATCTAACTCCAGTGGCGTTTCTCTGGCAGGACTTAGGGCTTCCTGAGCTCAGAAACGGTGCTGCTTTGCTCATTCAGGCAAACAGCTGTAGGTTTCAGAAACCCCTGCTCCCCCTCCCCCCTCTTTTTCCTGTTCCCCCTGCCATGGTTAGCCAGTTAAAGAGGCCCAGAATCTTTCTAATAAGCTGGTTTAGGGCACTACCATAGGATAATAGACTGTCTTTGTGAGAGGCTTAGACCTGTGTTTAACTTCCTAAGAGGAGAGGGTCAAGGGAAAGGTGGCTGAGATCCCCAGCCAACTCTGCAGCCTCTTCGACTAAACGTGTCCATAACATTCTGTTTGGTAAGTGGAATCGACATTCCCACATGAACTGGAAATGCTAAATTGTTAATAGCCTCCCTAGGGTTTAACTCCTTGCTATGATGCCTTCAATTATTTCATCATAGCTTAGGCAAAGTAAAATATCACAATTAATGTTTCTAAGCATGAAGCTCACACAGCATCTCACCCCCCTTCAGGTTCAGGGTGATTAGTCACTATCCCTTTTCTAGGTCTGCAGAGGGCAGAAGGAAATCAGGGAGACAGCTTGATACCATGGAAATAGCACCCATTTGGAGTCAGATAATGTAGGTTTGAATCCTAAGCTCTGTGTTTCTTGCTACTTGGATGACCTGGGGAGAGTCACTTCTCTCTAAGCCTTAGTACTCTCATCTGTAAAATGTCTGGTTTTGCCCAGAGTGGGGGTGGGTCAGATTAGAGCACAACTTTTCTGTGTGTTGTGTACACCTCCCCACCTCCAGCAGGTGAAGCCTATGGGCAGATCCATTCTCAGAATAATGTTTATTAAATGCATAAAATGAGATCTACAGAATTACAAAGGAAAATTCTAATGAAATAGAATTCTGATCAAAATTCTAATGAAATAGAGCTAGCAAAATATATTTTAAAGATAAGTTCACAGACCCCAAGGTTTAGAACCCCCAGTTTAAAGATGATCTCTAAGGATCCGTCCAGCCCCTAAACCCTTTAGTCCTAAAAGTTTCACGAACACTTCTTATGATGGAGACCCAATTAAGTTTTGTTTTGTTGTGGTTTTTTTTTTCTTTGTGGGGAGGGTTAAAGGGATGGGGAAAGAGATATGGAATATAAGAGCTGCTGTTTTTGTCATGCTGAGCTGAAATAGGTCAAGTCTAGGGGCTACTTTCTCTTGCCCTGACCCATCTCCCTACAGGAGAAGTAATGGCGGGGTAGGTAGGAATAGGACCTGTAATACATGTGCCTGAGGATAGGATAATTTCTAATGGTTCTCCAAAGGGAAAAAAAAGGTAGATATAGATTTTCCAGGTTTTTCTTCCATAGCCACATGATATTA